AGGTTGCCAGATATCCAATTAATATACAAATATCAGGAGATCTGCATATGAGTGAAAAACAGACATTGAAATTTTTAAAAGCTAGTGTGACTTAACAAAAGCATCAAACGTAAAAGTAATCCAATGAAAATGCTCAAACTCCCAAAATAAATATTTTCAAGAGCTATTAAAGAAAGTCTAACAAAACCATACTCTTATAGTGGTACACTTAGCACTATTAAAATGTAAATTCTTTCCAAATTGATGTCTAGATTTATTGAAACCCTCATCAGAAGCCCAGCAAGTTTTTCTGTTTTTTGTGGAAACTAACAAATTTTAAAGTTTCTATGAAGTTATAAAGTGGCATTACTAGCCATAAATGTCACAAGAACAAATTTAAGAAGCTTATATACCAGATATCAATCCTCATTATAAATCTAAAAGAACTGAGGCAGTGCAGTATTGGTGTAAGAAAGGAAAAAATCAACAAAACAACATAAAGATCCCAGAAACAAACAAACAAACATACATACATATATATATTTTTTTCACCTAATTTATGATGATGGTGTCACTGAAGTACTTAGAAAAAGAATAGTATTTTCAATCAACAGTACTGAGTAAATCAAGTTTACTTCTTTCAATAGCTGGGTACCTAATCTACTTCAGTGGCCCCTTACAGCCTCTTGCATGTGCCCTCATTAGCTCGTTGTGCTGAGATGAAAGCTCTCGTGAGACCTCCCTGCCTGACTCAGACAAGTGTAAGCCCATCACTCAGCTTCATTACCTTTCCTTAGCTTATTCCCAAGCTCCCTATTTCTGCTAATGGTTCGGAATACCAAGTCAAAAATTCTAAAATATATACATGTTTTTGTCTTTCAATAGTCATTTTTCTTCTGGAAAAATGATGGTCTACTTGTAAAATAGATCAGTTTGTGAATTTTCTCAAATACTAAGGCAGTAATTCAGTCCGCAATAGCTCCTAGGGACTTCATTAGCTTAGCTTCTAGGTTGACCTAAGGAATTTTTTTCCTGCGTCTAAAGCAGTATTAGCTTGTTTCCTTGACTACATTCATTCATATCCTAAGGATTCTGAAAATAGAATGAAACACATGAACCAACATTTTAAAAAACAAATGAACAATTTATATAAATTTACATGAAAGCATGTGTGTATATATACACTATTTATATACACAACATGCACATACATATGTATATATATATTCTTGCTTTTTTTCTACATATGAATATGTTTTGATATTACTTATACCAGGAGGATATTCATTTGCAATTTGGTGATTCTCATTTTAAGTATCTTCCAAAAGACCATGATGGAATATAAAGTTAGCAGAGGCATAGAAGACAGTCCATTGCTGCCAACCAATGAAATTGCCAAAACATAGAGTAGAACATGAAAGGTCAAAACTAGCAGAAGTAGGTGTGGTTTATTCATATAACAAACAGGACCATGGTTCAGACACTAAACAGGTCTCTCTTAAAATCTCTAGCTGGCTTGTAAGAGAGTCTCTTTGATTTCTACCTATGTGAAATTCGGTCAAGAACTATAGGACTCAGCGTGTGAACACATTTGAAAAGCAAGGTGGCACCATCACGCTGCATTCATACACGCATGTGAAAGGCTACAGGTGTCCAGAGCAGCCTAGGCTCCGAGTGTGAAGACAGCTTAGTGCTTAAATTTCATGGAAGCGGGTAGTAGAGAAGCAAATGGAGGGAAGCATAATACTGTATAAAAAAACAAATACTTCCGTGTAAATCAATTGTAGTCTTTCTCTCTCCATTCTCTTCCTCTAAAAAAACTACTAATAGATGGATACTTGATCAAGAGAATAAAGGTTTGCAAAGGTTATCTAGCCCAGGGTCTTGAAAGTCAAAGTCCTGGGGCCTGAATGCTATCAGGCACATTTTCACCACCAGGGAGGCAATCGCCTTTGTCCTCCACAGGGAAGCACCCTGGGGATCCCCACATCTGGAAATCGAGGGGAGGGGAATACACAAAAGGAGGCTGCTTACAAGTTCTGGCACCTCACCTTCATCCTGGGACTGTCCCCACATTATTAGGGTGACTTTCAGGAGGCACAGTCAGCACTGGTTCAGGCATTTTCATGTGTGTCACATGTGATTCAAAGGTAAAATGCCTGCCCCATGGGTCACGGCAAAATCCTAACAAGAGCATATAAGAGAAGGTCTCCTCCAAACTGTTAGCTCTTTATAAATGCAAATTTTTATCAACATCCTCATAATATGATGAATTATAACACCAATTACTGACTGACACCTGGCTCATTTTTGTTTTGAGGACTAAACTCAGGGCTTCAATCATGTGAGGCAAGTGCTGTACCACAGAGCTACACTCCCAGACCAACAAACTCATCTTAAAATATAGACACCATATAATACCATGGAACATATGTTTTTTAAAAATGTAAAGGATACCCTGTGGACTTAAGTGTACACTTGAGTTGTTCATCTCACTACCCACTGTATGGATTGCATCACATCTCTCTGTGATTTAAATTCTAAGGGCTTATTTTCAAGTTCTGAGTAAGTAGCAAGTATTTCCCTATCTTACTGAAAGTGCCATCTATTCAGGTAGCCACCTTTTAAAAACTTACCTGGCCCAGTTACTGCTCAGCAAGAATCTGGAATAAGTTGATAAGCAAGCATGTTTCTGTGGGGTCCAGAGCAAAGGCCAATTTCCACAAGTCCTCCCTGGGACCCGTGAGTGATTTTATATCAGGGGTCTGATGGATGGCTTCTCTGGCTGTCTGCTGAGTGCATTACTCAGCATGTAAAATCCTGACCCCCTATTTCAATGAGGCCAGTTATTTTGCAAAATAATCCTTTGCTAAATTAAAGAAATCCATCAAATGCTACAAATTCTACTTAAACATGGATTGGACACAAAACTTTCTTTACCAGCTTGGAAAAAGATTCTCAGCCAAGACACCCCAAGACAGTACATATGGGGAGAACAAAGTCTCCCCCAGGGGGAGCTTACAGTGGCATCCAGAGCCCCAGGATAGCAAGAGTCCTGGGCTCCCGGTTCACTGGTAAGAAATCTCATGGCCACCCTGCAGCCCTTCAAAAGCATGAAATTTCCCCCAGTTCTCCCAGTATTTTCTCTCTCCTGTGCACAAAAATTAAACACATCCAGTCACCAAATGCTCTCATCCTGGATGCAAAAAAGACAGCTCTCTGCTTTGACAGGGAGCTGCTGGGGACTGGAGCCATGCGGGATTTTGTTTTCCAAGCTCACCGTGGGTCTCTAGGAAGTATGTCGCCACCATCATGAGCCGAAGGCAGCTGTTCTGTTTTGGCTGGAGTCCAGCACAAACCTCAAAGATTCTGCTGGCTCTCTTTTAAAAAATAATAATAATTTAAAAAAATAATTCCATATTCTCCCTAAAATTCCAGCCTAATGTTTTTATTCTAGTGCTTTTCCCGCAGGACAGAGAAAATCATATATTCTAAACAAACTTCTCAGCCAAAAACATACCAGGAGGTTATTTCCACCAGAGAACAATAATGGTATAAATAATTTGGCAGATTGAAAACTCAATGCTAAAGCACTGCCAAAGAATCACTGAATACCAATTCTCTCCAAAGTATCAAAAGATAAGTATCTAGCAATAAATTATGTGCTTTCCAAAAGAGGCCTTCTCTACTGGAAAACCATTGAATATACTTTCATTTAAGAGTGAAAATCAGACATCAATTTCTTTTTTGGTGTGAAGATCTCACGCAATATAAAGGTATCACGATAGCTATGTTTTACTTATGGTGCAGCCGCAGGGCCTGGCATCCACCCTTCTTGCTTCTAAGCACCCCACTTCCCCACCATTACAGACCAACTTGCAGAAGGGATGTGTGCTGGTGATGTTTTCCAAAGTACAATCAGCCTTTCATGGGTCAAATTCATGTTCCTCAAGATTTCAGGGTGTGTATTTGTGGCAGAACCATACACAGATCAATAGATTCAGAAGAATCTGAAGTTGTTTCTAAACTTTTGCAAATTCTTACAAAGTCAAAAGACTTCCAAAACCAAAGCCAAGAATCTGGGACTTGGTTTATAGAACCAAATGTGACAAATTCCTCAGAGTCTACACAGAGGGGTTCCAGCCTCCATCCATTCTTTAATTCTTATCCCTGTGTCTACATGCAGTTCCCAGACTATCCTATAGCTCACTCAGTTCTGCCTCTGCACAATGAGAACTACACGGTGATGCTGGTCAACCTGCAGATGAAATGGGGCTCCAGTGGCTATGGGGCCTTTGTACCTATTGTGTGTTCAGTTCTCACTGAAAACTAAACTGACCCCTAAAGGCCACCAAAATTCAGTTATCCCTTCTTTTATGGATACTGTAGATTTGAATTAACTGCTATAATCTTCACCTCTTTACCCTTATTGCTAGGCAGCTGCCCTGAGAACATAATTTATTAAGCCTTTTAAAATGGCTTGCACTCATTTTAGAAAATAATAATAACAGAGATATATGGGGGTGGGGATCTAGCATTCTCTTGTATCCAAATGGTAAAAATACCTTACACACACACACACACACACACACACACACACATATGATATGCATGAGTGCAGTCTTACATTCCTCAGAATCAATATCGCTTATGAGTATCGCTATGTAATTTTAACTTGGGAATTGATTCTAGCCACCCTCACCCATTGTTCAAAGTAGGGACCCAACAGTAGCAGGGCACATTCTCCATCCCCAATAAATTTAGAGCGTGTGTGACCCCAAAGGGTGCTCAGTACAGCCCACTCGCCAGCTTGCTCAGGGGAGGAAGACTATTTGCAAAGTCCACTTAACAGCCCAAGGATCTTGCCAGCCAACCAAGGCCCTTTGAGCACCCCTCTGGCCACATTCCCAGCTGCCCCAAGTTTTGTGACACCTTCCAGACACACTCGGGGTCACGTGAGGACAGAGGGGGATGGAAAATGGGGCCGGCCCCGCATGGGGGGCTTCCTCGAGCCTTCATACCTGTGCCGGTGCTCCTGTAAGACTTGATAAATGCTGATAAGAAAAGTTTGGTTTTTAAAACTCCCCACAACACAGTCCTTGTAGATGCGGAATTCAGCAGCCGTCACCGCCTCACCCTCAGGAATCTGGGATAAGTTGAACTTGAACTCTTTGTGGTGTCGCTGGCGAGGGGAGAACTCCTTGTCGTACTCCACTATAGGATTAAACAAGAGAGAGTGACAACTATTGTTACTTGCCTAAGTGCCACGGGCTCACCTCAGCTCCCCCTTTTTACTTGATGAGCGGGTTACCAGTTACCAGGGGCAGAATGGAGCCACCAGGGCAGAGAGAAGAACACAGCTCAACTGCCAGACAAGGCCAAGACTAAAATCCTTCCTGTTACCCAGAAAAGACCCACAAGCCTCAGGCTAGCTAGACACTTTCCTTTTAAATGCTTGGTTCTGCTAATTTGCACAAGAGCTAGTTATTTAGACTCATGCCTTTGGATTTCTCCACCTGCAACAATGGGAAAACTATGATTTTGTGGAGAAAAGGTGTGAGCGTTAACAAAATGAGGACTGAAGCCCCGCTGCCCATCCTGGCCCCATGACACTCTCCCAGCTTCTCCCTTCTGTTTATCCATGGGTCCCCATCTGTAGCTGATGTGACCATGAGTGGCCCTGAGCTGAATTTGAGGAGGGTGACACGGCTGTGGAGAGGAAGGGGAGTATATGGAATATTCTGTCTGGCCCTGCAGTTTGAAGGGTCTTTAGACTTTGCTTCCTGTTCAACAGACACCTTTTGTTGAAGGATTTGGGGTGAAGCATCATAGCAAATGCACCCCTGAGTGAGACATGGAAGTGAGGGGACTGGATGGAAAATGATGTATGATGTATTACACACGCTCTGACTCCCCAGAAGGAATATACTCATTATGTACTAGAAACATGTACAACTTAAACATTAAAAAGAAAATAGCACCTTAGCCTCCCCCTACTGGAGGAAACTGATGACAGAAAGAAGGGACTCTTGGTACGGGGGAGTTGTTGGAATCTCTCCTAATCTGCAGGTAACCAAACCAGAGAATAAAGACACATGAGAAAACTACCAAGAATGTCTCTTGCTATTTTCTCATGGTTTACAGTAAAAAATAAAAAACCTTTGGAAACATGAACTCAATGTAGTTTTTCAACCATGGATGAATGTATAAAGAAAACGTGTCATCTATGTACAAAGGAATACTATTTGGTTTTTAAGAAGAAAGAATTCTGCTATTTGTGACAATGAGGCCAAACCTGGGGGACATTATGCTAAGTGAAACATGCCAGGCACAGAAAGGCAAACAGCCACTGTGTCACACACTTCCCTGGGTGCTGGGAAAGCCTAGCTCCTAGGCAGGAAGTGTGGAATGGGGCTGCCTGGGCTCTCGGGGAGTTGGTCAAACGGTATAAAGGCTCAGCTTCACATGATGACATTTTAAGGATTTAATGTACAGCATGGTGGTGAACTAATAACATGGTATCACATAATTAAAATTTGCCGAGAAAAATCTTAAATCTTTCTCATCACAGAAGAATAAAGAAGTGATTACATGTAAGATGACAGAACCACTGACATAGCTTGATAATGGTAACCATCTCATGACATATATGTACATGGAGACACTTCTGAATCCCTTAAATAGAAACAATTTTTTTGGTTAATTACACTGCGATAAAGCTAGGAAGAATAGAAGCTTTTATTTCTAAATAAAATCTTTTTCCTGTATGAAAAAGTACAGAAGATTACAATGACCAGCTATGACTTCCAGGAGTCAGGTGTCAGATGCTGATCTGAAGTCCTGTGGATCCGACCCTCAGGTATTTACCTCGCGATCCCGTAGTAAAGGAGGAAATAAGGGCTCCGCCTGGGCCACAGCCCTGGGCTCTTTTCTTTCTCCCAGAGCTGGGAACAGCCCGTGCCCTGATGCTCCTGTCCAGTTTTCCTTATCCGCCACCCCAGCAAATCTCTGTGAGTAAACGACCCCTTAGGGCAGGGTGCTAGGGCTCCTCAGTGCTGGGGCGCCAAACACAGACATAAAAGTCAAATTATTTGCCACCTTGAACCTCCTACTTCCTCTCACAGGTACTGCTCTCTGAATTACCAAGAAAAGCTCTGGAAGCCAAGTGCTATGGCACAGGTCCCCAGCACTCTGGGAGGCTGAAGCGGGAGGATCACAAGTGTAAGCTGAGCATGGGCAACTCAGTGAGACCCGGTCTCAAGATGAGAAAAAAGTGGGGGCTGGGGATTTAGCTCAGCGGCATAAGCACCTGCCTTGCAAGCAGGCAGTCATGAGTTCGATCCCCCGTACCAATAAAAAAAAAAAAAAAAAAAAAAGGAAAAAAAAGATGAGAAAAAAGGGAAGCAGTCTGGTGGCGTAGCTCAATGTGAAGCCCTTCAAATCAAATCACTCTTCAGGGTCACAAAAGCAGAGGGAAGGAAAAAAGGAAGGGAGGGAGGGGAGGGGATGGAGGGGAGGGAAGGGAGGGAAAGGGAGGGGAGGGGAGGGGGGAAAACAGACAAGCTTTGGAGATTTAGTGTCTTTTAAAAAAAGGAAAGAAAAGCTTTAGAGATCTGGCATTAGAAAACACACACAAGCACGCAAGCGCGCACACATGTACACACACACACATACACACACACACACACACACACACACACACACTTGCCTCACATGCTCGAGGTCCTGGGTTTGATCCCCAGCACTGCAGAACCAAGCCCAGTAACTCAGCCAGACACGGTGGTGCATGCCTGTAATCCCAGCACATGGGAGGCTGAGGCAGGAGGGCCATCACAAGTTCAAGGCCACCCTGGGTTACACAGTGAATGCAGGCCAGCCTGAACTAAATGGCAAGACTCTGTCACAAAAACAACCAACCTCCGCCCCCTAAAAAATCCAGCAACTTTCTGGAAGAATTTAAAACCTCAGTAGCATTTGCAGAAGCTAAGGGTATAAGTTTTTAAATAAAGAATTCCTAAAATGGCCCTGTAATTAAACAATACTTCATTGAGATTAGAGTTTTCTTCTTCAAGTGTGAGTGTGTGTTAAGGGGATGTTGAACAAGTCTTGGTCTCTGTAAGTTTTTTTTAAAACAATCCAACCAAAAGTAAGCCCCAGTTCAGCCCCACAAGACGGCAGGTTTTCTAATTAGTGGCTGAGCATGAAAAGCAATACTGTTGAAGAGTTCACTCCAGGACGCCCACACTGCTGGTGTATCACCTTTCCCTAAAACTAATCTGTCTTTTAAGTTTGATATGTTATCACTGTTTGTTAAAAACCAAATCAAGTCTGATTTCCCAAAGAGACTTTCTTTTTTAAAAAATAGCTTTTTACAGGGCCTTTGGGATGCTTCATTTTAATAGTGGTAAATAAGACTGTAATTTTTAAAATTCACCGGAGAATGTGCATAGACTTCTTCAAAGAAGACTTTTGGTCTTACTCAAACAAGTTAGGAAAGCATATAGATAAGGAGTGAGTTCCAGGGCAGTAACTTTAAAACACTTCCATTGCAGAGACACAGAAAGGGGCAGAAATTGCACTCAGTGAGAAATGTGGGGGCTCTTCTGTAGGGAGGTGCGTCACCCCACTAAACCCTGCTTGTCTAGGCTCAGGCCTTTGAGTGGTTCCCTCCCCTAGGCTGGCTCAGTGAAATGCAGTGAGGTGGGGATGAGTGGCTTCCCAGGCCTGGTCACCAGCTTCAACTTCCTTCCATGCTTGTTTGGGGGGAGAGTGCGCGCTGCCACAAAGCCTGGCTACCCAGAAACCTCTACGCTGTGAAGAGGCCCAAGCTGGCCATGGAGAGAAATGTGCAGAGTGGGCTTGGTGAGACAGGGAGCCAGGAGGCAGGGGGAAGGGGAAATGAGAGAGGGGAGAGGGCGGGGACAGAGAAAAAGGAGAGAGAGAGAAGACAGAGGAGAGAGAAGAGAGGAGAGAGGGGAAAGAAGGGGAGAGAGCAGAGAGAGAAAAGAGAAGAGAGAAAAGAGAAAGAAGGGAGCAAAGAAGGGAGGAGAGAAGAGAAAAAGGAAAGGAAGAGAAAAAGAGTGAGAATGCGGGAGGGAGGGAGAAATGAGAATGAATGAGAACTAACCAGCAAGCTCCCACAGCTCAGTGGAGGCGCCAGCCCGTCACAGAGGAGCCACTGAGGATCCTGAGCCTAGTGCAGCTCTCAAGGACTCAGCCACAGCCACTGTCCTCTGCAGCTGCATGACAGACCCCGCCCACAGCCACGCTGCTGCACAGGACCCTGAGAGGTGAGGCAGCAGTGCTGCTTTCAGCCGAGTTCTAGGGAATCTGTTTCGCAGTAACAGGCAGCTAACACAAGGCTGGAGACAGGACAGGAGAGGCTGAGGGAGGGAAAGGAGAGGGGTAACTGGACCGTGCTAAAGTGAGAAGTTCCATGTGATCCTTCTCCTGGAGAAAGACTGCGCAATGCAGGGAGGCTGTTATGTGCGAGGAAGGAAGAATCCTGGTCAGCGCTCACAAACAGGAGTAGAGAGATAAAGGGCCCAACAACGAGAAAGCGGAAGTGTAATGCCAAGTATGCAATGTGAATTGGAGCCCACTGCAGTGTAGGGACTTTTCCCAAGACAACATTGTTTTGAAGCACCCTGAACATTCTCATCTTCCATTCGTCATAAGGGAGATTCGCTGTCTCCACTGGCCCATGAGTCTCTAATGGCTACCTACATCCTTCGTTCAACCCCTTACACAAGGGTCCTCTCAACCTCCCCTTAGGCCTCCAAACTTGAGGCTCTAAGCTCTCCCACCTCCCTTGCTCTCCCCAGGAACCTCAGTGCCATCACTGAAGTTTGCCTGGACCTTCTCCCTTTGGTCCTATTTCTTCCTCTACAGCTGGATTCTCACAATGCACTTGCTGATGACTTATAGGGAAAAAAGAATCAGGACAGTTTGTGCATTTGAAGACCAGAGTGGGAGAATAACAACATTCCCCATTAATGTAGCAGCTCAAGCTGCATGATTCTGGACTGTGCAATGCCAGACCAATAAAGGGGAAAGAGAAGGAGGACAAACTTTGAATCCAGCCTTCAGTCTGTATGTTATTTCCCATGGTAACGTTGTATGTGGTACACTCGTAATGCTGATGAAATGTCAAACTGCTGCACTGGCATGGTATTCCAGCTCCGCTTTTTCCTTACATAGATGAGGCTGAACAA